GTGAATAAATTTTCTATTGTGAGCCCTTCCGGGAACAGCGAGAGAAAAAAATCACATTGAGTACAGCTTTATATGAGATAATATTAATTTCAATATAGGTATAATTTCGCAATTACGACTTCGCTATTTTTGCGTCGAATTTCACATCTCCTTGTCGGCACTTACGAAGTTAATTGATGCTTGAAGTCGCTGTGATGGATTTTACTGTATTTGTTTTAATGTGCAAAGTTGACATTCCGTCTTGCGATCGAAACCATCACTTCCCATGTACAAATGAAAGCTAATCTGCAGTGAGCCAGCTCGTTTCGTTCATATGCTTTTCTCTGTTCAAACAGATTTCCGTCCGCTGAAATGTAATTAATTTTTCTTTAGAATATGATTACCGGAACTCAGCAGATGGACGGTGCCATTTTAGTGATTGCAGCCACTGAGGGTACGATGCCTCAGACGAAAGAGCATCTGTTGCTTGCAAAGCAAGTACGTTTTTATCAGTCAAACCGTCTAATTTGCTAGATGTTGATGATGATTTGAAAGCCGGCCCTACGGATGTGTTCTCGGAATTAGTTAATAAAACAAAGATTATGTTTACGATTGTAGAATAATTCTATGTTTCATGTTGACAAAAGTTATTAACGTTTGCAACTTATCATTGGGGTTTATATAATGAAGGAGGATGAAGTGTGATTTGTCTTTGAAACTAATACCTCTGATATTCATTATCATTGTTATTAGCCGCTATCGATCCAATTTTGGACGAAAGCATCTAAAAGATTTTGTCAGACTTTTGCTTTCTTCCACTCTCAGCCATCTTCACCCTGCGAACTTCATCAATTCATCCTGCTATCGATTTGAAGCTCTTTTTACTGGCTCTTTATTCTCTCTTACAGCCCATTCTAATGTCTCTCTGGTCCTGCAACGGTCTGTTCTTTTCACAACGTCTCCTGTCCATTGCCACTTTAACTTCTTCATTCAGATAGTGGCATCGCAAACTCTTATTTGTGCTCTTACTAATTCACTTGTCCTCATATTTTTTCTAATTTCTGGTTACTCCAGATTTACACCTTTTCAGCTGCGTTCCGTAGTCTGCAGTTTGTGAATAACATTCAGGCTTTTGGTCCACCTTTCGCGTCCACAGCTTGGCACTGAGACTATACACTGATCGAATACTTTCTGCTGTTTCAAGCACAGAAACGGTTTCCCGCTAGTAGCATTTTCATTCTTGCCGAAGAGCTCCACTCCATGTCATTTTTACTCCTCTCTTGATTTCACATCTTCGTTGCTCGGTTAGACATAGTTTTACACTTCTCCAAGTTCTTTCTCTTGACTAAATCAAAGGTCAGTTAGAACGTTTCTTACCAGGACTGTCATGTAGTCAGAAGTGAGCTGAGTGTAAACTGCCTATCCGTAAGACGTCCATTGTGTAAATGTATTTGATTTTGTGTTAATTCTGATATTATTTGTCTTCAGTCTTGCGTCCTCTGCTTAATTTCGATTTGTGATGAGGCAATTTGTGCTGTTGGTCACTACCGTTGCCCAGGCTAATAATATTGACAAAATGATTATCGTTAATTTCCGTTCACAGTCATTTTTCATCATTCATTAAGCATGAGCCATTCGATTAATTTCTTTCAGATTGGCGTTAAACAGGTCATCATATTTCTGAACAAGGTTGACGAAGCGGACGAAGAAATGGTTGAATTAGTCGAGTCAGAGACCAGAGAGCTCTTGGACACGTTTGGATTTGACTCAACCAATACTCCGATCATTTCGGGTTCAGCGTTGTGTGCGGTTGAGGTAAGTAATTTCGTTATGCTTACATATACATTGATGTTTTTAAAATTCCCATGGTTTTAGACTAAATCACAAAATTAAGATTCACTTTAACTTTTTTAATTTTATGTATGGTGTGAGCAATTCGTTCTTGTTGACATAGTCGTTTGAGTTTTTATTATTTTATTTTTTTTATTTTCAAGAATTTAAAGAAAGTTGCAAAAGTCAAATCCCAATGAATTCATCTGAACATTTCATAGTTCATGTTTTCTGTAATCACGCTTTTAGTTTATATATCTGTTGTTTAACGCTTTTATATTGCTATGTGCTTTCCACTGATTCCTTGTTACTTTACATGTATTTGCACCTCATGAATATCTTCCATCCTTGGTTTTCTCACTTAGATTTATCTGCTGAAATCTCTCTGATAGCGCAGCCAAGCACCAATGTTCTTTAATGAGATATAATTGTAAACATTTCGATCAAGTATTAATGCATTTGCACTTAAAATTCTTACTTTCAGTCGAAGGAGCTACAGTACAACATAAAGCATCTTTACTTTAAATCAACTCCTCAAGGGCATGAGGGAATGCCAACTCCATCTGTACAACACCTTCGTAAAAAATGCGGAAAGCGATCGACACTGTCAAGTACAGTGTAAACTACACTGGCATAACAGGGCATGACACCCGTTACTGCTAAAGAAAATCATCTCTGACTTTACTATATACATCACGCTATTCGACACTCCCTCAGGATTTTTGCCAAGTACAGCATGAAACAAAGGGGCGTCATCTCCCCCAAATTTATCACTGTCTGTTTGGAAATGGTGTTTTGACGAATGAACTGTACGTGTAGGAATAATATCAGTTAAGAACCTCTTAGCCACCTAAGACTCGCTGGGACGTGGTGTAGTTTGTGGAAGACGCTAGTCAGCTACAAAAAACGTTGTCTGAGCCTGAGATGAATAGTGTAGAAATCGTTTAACACGAAGATACTGGAATCGAATGCCCTGTCGAAAGGCGTTGTTAATATTAAACGGCAGAAAGATCGAAGAGGTCGATTGGTACATTTACTTGGGCCAAGAATTCAGCATGCAACTTGAGTAGACGTGACAGATTCTGTGCAGGAACCGGGTCGGTTGGCGGACATTTCATTTTATTAACGATTTGTTGCCTATTATTGGCGGGTCAGTCAAATTGAAGCGTTGAAAATGATACTCAGC